GAGGTGGAGTGTGGTAGTGAGCCTCTCTCTTGTGCCAGCGCGTGACTTGGTAGGCCTCCTTGAGATTGGAAACTTGTTCTACCTTGTTGTACCAGAAGGCCCGCTTTGATTTCCTCACTACTTTTCCAAAGGCACGACGTTCGGGGGTTGCTGGTAGACCCGCACGACGGGCCCTGCAAAAGTTAAGATGAGCCTGAGTGCACTCCTTATTCCACCAGCCAGCTTTTGTTGCTTGTTTACGAGTCCTTGGACGTGGCACCAAGGAAAGATGTTGAAGTATTAGTCACTGAGCCTTAGATGACATGTGACTTGATTTGTAAGCTGGGCTAAACTAGGGTCTATATTATTATTATCCATTTACATCCTATTTGAGTTTACAACTATGTAGGACAGTTCTAGGGTCTATAGAATAGAATAGAATTAAATTTAAGTCCCTACTGAGTCTAAGACTATGAAGGACTCTAGGGTCTATAGAATGTATCGTAAATGCAGAACTTAGTAGTTAGTTCAATAATATACGCAATAAGCTTTAGGCATTTACCAGAAGTACAGTTTTCTAACCATATCTTCCTTCAATAAAAGATATAACCTTGATGGGCGTGAAATTTGGAATGGAGGTTTACAGGCTTGACAGCATCGTGTGCGCTAACCCCCCACTACTCCACAAGGGCTAGTCCCTCAATATCTATAAGAACAAATTTTGGCATATTTCAAAATTAAATTTCTCCAATGTAATTAGAATCTTTAGTTAGATTCACATAGTCCTCCATAGTCTTAGACTCAGCAGGGACTAAAATAAAAATCCAATCTAATCGTGTGCGCCAAGACTTCGCTTGCGACAGTGAAGCTGGCACTATAAACACAAGTCAACGATGGAGAGTGTAGTAGTCCGCCTCCTGGTGATGTTCTCCGGTATAGTTTCAGTGGCCTGGACACCTATTCCACTTGGGAAGGAGATATCTCAGATCACATTCCGCGCGGAGTAAAGTAAATGGACAATGGAGGCATGTGTGGTGAAACCAAGCTGGTTGTAGTGTACTTTTAGAAAGATTAAACTACATGAAGAGAGAAGTACCACAACTACGGGCAATGACTATTTGTACATCCTTCTAGCTCATCCAGTACGTACTCTGTTGGTGAGAATGACATATTGCTCCACCACTGCCCGTCGTCATCTTTGCCATCTAGCTGACTCTCTCACTTGGCAGTTCTACTTCGCCGTCTCAAATTCCTTCCTAGCTCCAATATAATGTGGCCAAGTGAAACTTAGTCGCTTGATACAAGATAATATGTGACACTCTCCCTAATACGCCCCCAAATTCCGCTTAGGTCTCCACCTAAGCCAAACCACGGTCAAACTGTAACACACGTCTGGATGACTCAGGGTTTTTAAATCGTTTTTCTGGGTGGGTATTCTCGGATGAGGGTCGACTTGGGGTCAGGAAAAAGGTACCATAACTTCGCAGTGGTACTTGCAAATGAAATCCGGGGCATGAGTGCTCTTCTTGTAGATTGAGTCATCTTTTCTGTAATTTTCATTGATATTATGTCATCGCTACGTAGCTGCATGTACAATTAAAATCTGACGCAAAAAAATTATGGGACAGAAGGTGCGATTAGCGCACTCGGGGCATGTGTAGAGAGACTCAGTCTTATCGGTTACCTCAGACAAATCAGATAATGAGTGGGTCCTTAATTTGAGAGTCGGAATTTTCAACACATACTTAAGTACTCATAATGAAATCAGTATTTAAATTGAATCATCTATTCTATACTTTTCTTTGATATTGTGTCATAGCTAGATAGCTGCATACGCAATTAAAATCTGATGCAAAAAAAAAAAAAAAATGAAATCAGTAAAGGACAGTGAGAAATTTTGATTTTAGGAGATTAACATGTTTAGCCTTGAAGGACAGGGTGCTGTACCCTGGAAAATCCCTTTTCTCAGGCAAGTATTTTCGAACGTTCGCACGCTTCACACGGGTTACTGGATTAATTTGATTTGACTTGACTAATTATTATTATTATTTGATTTTGATTTCATTTAGCCCGATTTGACGCCTTAAGGCCCATGCAGATGTCTACGAACTCTATTATTTACATGGGAGGAAACCTTTGTGGTAAAAACCCCCTCAACTTTTCAATTTATATACACTTTTAAAGTTGTGTTACCTTCACGAGGTGCACTAACACTGTTATGTCCAGTGCGGATACCGTCCACTCCCTTACTTATGGCAGGAGATCATATTTCCCCTACTGCCCTCTCTCTCACTCATCATGGCTTCGACTTCAAGCGTCAGTCGAAACTGCTCTAGCCTTCCTTCCTTTTGTATTCACTTTGTAATTTTAGCCATATCTTTCGGGTTATTCATCATCGCTTTGAATGACCGATTTTCTGCCTTTCTCAGTATCTCCCCTCCCCCTATAGCCCTGTTGATACAGGCCATGTTCATATGCTTGACGTTCTAGGACGGATATCCACATTGGCATCGTGGGCTGTCTACTCCGGGAACATGTCTTCTGTGCAGGTAAGAATTGAACCCAATGTGCTCACTCCTTAACTGCATGGCTATGCTACTTTGGGCCCTGTTAAGGCTTTTATGGATACTGATAGGTGTTCCTCTTGAGGTCATTGTCGTTCTTCCCGTCTTTTCATCTGTATAAACATATGCTGCGTTCCAGATTTTGGGACCTGCTGTTGCGTGGTGGTTAGTAGGTTGCCTGGCTGTTAGTCTCGTCCAGGATCGTTCCCATTCTTTGAAAGCTGCGACCTTTCCAGCCGCTTTCTGTATTTCTTTCGTCTCTACATTCCCACATGTTTGACCACACTACACAATATCCAAGGCCCTCGTGACAGCTTGTGCGTCATGCCTTCCAGCTCGGGGTTGCTTTATCTTCGTGCAGGCCAACGATATCGTATCTTGAGCAGGTAGGCTTTTTGTAGGAATAATCTCGCATACAGTACCCTAATCTGCTTGGAGTAAACTTAACCCTGAAACTGATCAGGAAGGAGTCAGTGGATAGAGGTTGTTGCGATATATATACTTAATATAAAATATTTGTTAATTCGCCCCAAAGAAAATCTACAGTAGCCGTCGCTCTAAGATTGTGGAACAACGCTTTTTGATAGTCCGGCGTGTTGGACCCTCCTTTGCTTGAGATAGATTTCCATAGGCAAGGTAGAGGTCTCATGCTCAAGTACCTTGCTGCTGGTCGAATTATACGCACCCGTAACGTTCTTTAGGCACCTTCTTTGGATACTTTGAAGCGGCTTAATCACTCTTTCGGGAATTTTGTCGGCTATTCCGGGCTCGGCCCAAATGGGGGATCCGTAGGTGACAGCTGGTCTCACTACTGCATTGTACACAAGTTTTGCCTTGTGGAACGTCGCACCCCAAGTTGATTGTGCCAATCTACCTAAGGCTTGTATCTGTGGTTCGACTTTAAGCATTATGCTATTGATATGAGCACCCCAATTGAGCTTCGGATCGAGATGGATACCCAGAACACGGAGGGAAATTTGAGGTTTGGCAAGATGGCCTTGGATATGGAGTGTGGCCCGCATGTTGTGTCTCTTGATAATTATTATTATTATTTTTATTATTATTATTAATTCATTTTATTGTCCTGTCTGATTCTGTGAATATGTAGGACATGCAGATCCTCTCTGCCTACAGGTCAAGGACACCTATGCCAGTAGCATAGCCCCTCCTGTGCCTCCCATACAGCTCCCCTCAAACAGTACCACCCCTCACAAGTCCTCATTCGATCATACACTTAGAGGAGCCCTTTGCCCTTCATTATCTCCCCTATCCAGCCAACGAAACGATGACCATTTGCGGATGTATGGCGGCCGGGAAAAATCGCAAAACCCGCTGCGTGCGGGGTTCTCCTAATATCGCCATTAGGACTAAATCCGAAGACATAGTGACCCTTTTGATGCGTTCGAAGAGGCCGGCCAGCTGGGCGCTGCAGGCTTGTGGTTACCTCGGAGAATTCACACGCTGCCTTTCTAACCTCTTTCCAACTCCTTCCCGAAGGTCGAGCTGAAATGTCAGAAAAGTCTTGACAGAGCGTGATTGCTGTATGGTAGCTTAGCCCAACTTCTTTCGAGCCGTCCAGGGCGCTGGGGAGTGCCGTTGACTCATCGATAAAAGGAGCCCTCCTGGCTAATTAGCCGAAATCTTGGTCTTAGCGTCCACAAACATTCCAAAGTTGTAAACCCTTTGAAAATATCGGTCGCAACATACTCTTCATAGACCTGTTTCCCCTCTCGCTCCGCATCTCGGCCGCCTGTTCTCCCTCAAGTTGTTTGTCCCATTAGAGCAACATTCCCCCATAGGCCAAGACCCAGGCTTTGTATTTTTCGACTTAATCTCCTCCTTGCGTGTGTAAATAGCATCGTAAATATTAAGTGAGAGATGGCTGGAAATTAATGAGGCAAGCTCCCGTATGCAATTGGAGCAACTTCTTCATTGGTCGTTGAGGACTCCAATGAGAATGATAAGGGAGGCATTATCGAGAAGTCGTCAAATGGAGATATGCTTGAGGTTGCTTTTGACTTCGATTCGGATGCGATTCTTCTTGGCTATCCCAGATATGCAGAGCATACTAAGCGATTACACTGGCACTACTGGGAAGTGAAGAATTTATCTTTGCCGGCGACTTGACTAATTTAACGTGCTAGAAGCTGGGTTTGTTGATGTAGCACTGACAGATTTCGATTCTAGCGCACAAACCGTATCTATCTGACCCACTTTATGCGCTATACTAGTTTTTCAAACGTGACGATTGACAATGTCTGCAACCCCGCGAATATTTAAGAAGTGGAAAACAGTTTTTTTCCATCCGGTGGTCCTAATACCCAGCTTGAAAGAGTCAACGGCTACTTAGTTAGTGCATAAATCTTTTGATTGCGAAAAAATTGATGACTTTGAAGGAAATTTCATGAGTTGAATATTTTTCACCGAAGAGAAGTCTAGAAGATCACGACTATCAAAATGTCCGCATCAGCAAAAGAGGAGGCAAATCCTTCCTCAGAACCGGCTCCTTCGAAAAAAGGAGCGAAGAAGGCCGAAGCCAAGGCAAAGAAAGAAGCAGAAAAGGCTCGAAAAGCAGCTGAGCGTGAAGCGGCCACTGCCTCAGCTAATTCTACTGAAGTCCAAGACACAGCAAAAGATAATTACGGGTCAATCACAAATGCAACTCAGCTCGCCTCTAATTCAGTTCATCTTAGAGCTCTCTCAGAGGAGAATGTAGGATCAATAGTCAAGTTGCGTGCATGGATACAAAATTCTCGGATGCAGGGCGCCCGGATGGCCTTTGTGGAACTAAGGGAGGAGAGTAATTGGACAGCCCAGGGTGTTGTCGCATCAAATAATGAGGGTTCAGTAAGTAAGCAGATGGTAAAATGGATCGGTGGCTTAAAGCTAGAGAGCTTCATACTACTTGAAGCTGTAGTCAAAAAGCCACTCGAACCGGTCAAGAGTTGCAAGGTTCATGGAGTTGAGCTGCACTTGGTAAAGGTATACCTAATTTCTGCGGCACCGGAAATGCTAGGCCTGGGGCTTGCAGCTGCCAATCGAGCTGTTGGTAGACTAGATGAGGAGGATACAACTGAAACCAAGGATGAAGGTGCTTTTCTTACCTTTTAAAGGAATAATCTCTTTGAATGGAAACTAAGACATTGATAGGTTTACACATTACAGAAAGCACACCACTGGCAAGTTTGGCTACACATCTCAACAACCCCGCCATGCACAAGCGCGCTCCAGTAAGTCAAGCAATCGCTGATATAAGAATTGCAGTAGAGGATCTGTTTTGTGAATATCTTCGTGCCCGTCGTTTCAAGAAATTTCACCCGCCTTCGCTCATAGGTGCGGCATCTGAAGGCGGATCCAATGTTTTTCGAATGCCTTACTTTGATAAAGAAGCCTATTTAGCTCAAAGTCCCCAATTCTATAAACAGTTCGAGATCGCGGGTGGTCGTAAAAGAGTTTTCTGTGTCGGTCCGGTATTCAGGGCTGAAAACTCAAATACACCTAGGCACATGACTGAGGTTGGTACTAAAGGTTAACTCAAGGTATATTGCTAAATACAGTAGTTTATTGGCCTTGATCTGGAAATGGAAATTGAGGAGCATTACCACGAGGTAATTCATATGTTAGAAGGAGTTCTTCTTCACATATTTCGTGGTCTCTCGACTCAATGCCGCGAAGAAATAGAGCTTGTCCGTTCTGTCTATCCATCAGAAGAATTTCTTTTACCCGAACCTGGAAGAGAAGTCCGCCTTACATTTGCTGAAGGTCAAGCTCTTCTGCGAAGTCAAGGCCCAGATGAATTCAAGGATGTTACTGATGAGGAAGACATGTCAACAGCCCAAGAGAAAGCACTTGGAGCCCTCGTTCGGGAGAAATATGGCACTGATTTTTACGTCCTCGATAAATTTCCGAGTTCAGCTAGACCCTTCTACGCTATGCCTGATCCAGAAAATCCATCAGTTACCAATGCCTATGACTTTATGATGCGCGGTCAAGAAATTTTGTCCGGGGGACAGCGCTTGCACATACCGAGCGAGCTTGAAGCAAATATTCGCGCCAAGGGACTTGACCCTAATCAGCCTGGTATCAAGGAGTATGTAGATGTTTTTAAGAGTGTGGGTGTGCCCCCTCATGGAGGTGGTGGTATCGGATTGGATAGGGTCGTGGCATGGTACCTGAATTTACCCAGCGTTCACTTAGTATGTGACTATCCTCGGACACCAAAAAGGTTAGATCCCTAGTCCTAAACATTACGATGTATCGCATTGCTGTCTCCTAGTGACTAAGATAAAAAACTAAATAATCTGTGGGATACTTAAATTAAACTTGATCAGCATGAAAAATGAGGGATGAATATATGTTTAAGATTTTTGGAGCTCTCAAGGGACGCAAAAACATTCACCAAGGACAGCCACCGTTTTTCAGAAAATTGACCTTCTCACAAGTGACTAACAACAGTCAAAGCTTTTCTGGTAGACTAAATCCCCTGGATAACTAACTTTTGAGCCGCATAATAATTGTGCCTATGATTACCGAATAGTAAGACTTACGCATGTCAATCCCATTCAAGTTATACCCTGTTCCTCTTCTAAATAATCGCTCTCCTGTAATTAATGTTTCAAATTTAGACAGATGATCACAAAGATTACATTTATGAGGTTGTAGAATATGTGATTTACGTGCATTACAAATCTGTCTTGCTCATCAACAATGCCAAGTCCTTCTAGCATGCCGCATGCTGCAAGTATATGACAGCCGAGAGTCGGATGGTACAGTGGTACACCATTGGCGCTGTTCTCCCAAGCAGTTACTGGGTAGCTTGAACACCTACCTCATTCGAGACAGGAGAAAGCGGGTTCGAATCCAGTAGGACCCACACACACTCTCTCGTGGAGATATCGTACTCGTGGGATGATGAAAGCACACTCGGATAGCCACAGGTTTTTCACGCTTTTCCCTGTGGTGGGTATGAATGGAAGAGGTTATACGCCGTGAGGGTTAACCTCGAGTGGTATCTGCAAATGAAATCTGAGTGTGAGTGTTCTAAACGTCAAATTGAGTCATCCTACTTAGAGTACATATTTTCCGATAGAAACCTGCATGGGCCTCAAGGCGCCAAATCAGGATAATGAATGAATTTTTCATTTAAACATGTAGGATGACTCTTTTGATGTTAGAGACACTCATACTCTAGATTTCATTTGTAAATACCACTCTTAGGTATGTTTGCCTGCACAAACAGTCGACCCTCCTCCGTAAGTATCCACCACAGGGAAAATCTAGAGGTCTGTCAATCTGAGACCCTAATAGCTCCTGTTTTGCATGTTTTAGGGCTTCATCGCGAATAATTTTTAATAGACTCTCTAAATAACCAACAACCATGTATGTGTAAGCGCTTCATTTTTCAGTGAAGACGCTCAGATGATTGTCAGATGACGTTTCTGCTTGGGCTGCTGCGAATATTAACTATGAATGCGGTACCTCATCGACTCTGTCGCTACTCTTTGGGTGAAATTAAGCTCGGAGAGAAAATTAGTGGTTGGCGCACCATTGCAATTATTTCAATTGACAGCAACGACTGTAATTTCTTCTAAGCTGTAATTTACATAGCTCAAAGCAGATTTCAAATTACCACAATTCAACAACGATAGTGTATTACTGATTATTTTCTTAACAATAAAAAATGACAGAGACTAACTTTTGAAACGACCAAAAAGACTGCAAAAAATATATCTCAAAGTATTAAAAAAATTATAGGTTGAAATAAGGATTTTCCGAGAAGGAAAACTCAACACCTGTTAGTGGTGTCTGCTACGAACCTTTAGCTCTTACTATCGAGTCTACAGAGTCGGGACTGAGTAAGGCCTTCCGACTCACTTCAACAAGGATTCTCATTCGCTTTTGCTGTCTGTATCGTCTTCATATCTAAGCATAAACACCTAATACAATTATCATGAAGCTTGCTACGATCAGACCAGATGGTGGGGTTGAAGTCCTCCTTATTACTCAGCGTTGGTCATTGAGGAAAAGCCATCCGAATAGTTTCTGGAGAGTATCTAGCAACCAATACGGAGATGGTGGATTGGATCAAGTTGGCCTCGAATATTACAAGAAAAGTTGTCCCTCACTGTCTATGAGAGCAAAGTTTAAAAATAAACAATTTGAACTTCAAAAATGTAGCTAGTATTTTATATATAGATTATAGGAGTCCTCACTAGTCATTGACTCGGTTAGGGCTATAATATAAATCTAATCTAATTTAATTACAAGGAAGGGAGATGTACATTTACATACGCACCTCGTCTTGCCCCAGTGTCTAGGGCTCGCCTGGCTAGGACAGAGAGGAGCTCACTGTGCTAGAAAGTCTATGACTCAAGTAGTACAATAGACAACACACAAATACTAGTAGTAGAGTGTTAGAGCACGAATCTTCCGTCCTCCCTATAGAGATATACCTGAAACAAAGGAGGGTCCAGCACGCCGGACTAGCAGCTAAACTCTCTGTTCAACAGACATAACGATCGACATGTAAGAGGATAAAGCTGTCCGCATACGGGAGAGAAACTCCGCATGTCTTGAACAAGAGTGAAGATATCGCCGAATAGACAAGAATTCGCGGATGGGAAAAGGACAATGGGAGACAGAAAGAAGCTGGAAAGACAGCGGCCTTTCAGGAGTGGAAGTATTCATAAACAAGTCAGAATAGGAAAGCGGCAAATAGACTCACTGATGCAAGAACAGGCAGTGTGAAAATGAATTTCAAAGATACACCCTTAAACATCCACTGTAACCTAACCACGGCTCAAAGCAGTGTTGGCGTTCAGCTAAGAAGCGAGCATATTAGGATAAATTCTTACCTGTGTAGGAGAAAAGTACCCGGAGTAGAAAAGCCAAGCTGTCAATGTGGATATCCGGCACAAAGCTTCAAGAACATGGTTTTGTTGTGTCTGCAATGGGCAGGTGGAAAAGGCTATTTCTTCGACAAGCTAAAGATAGGTAATTTGAAGCAATGATTAATAGCTCAGAAGATGTGGCTAGAATGACACAATGGATACTGGGTAAAGGATGGATTAAACAGTTTCGACTTGCAGGGGAAGTCGAGGTAGCAATGTCGGATAAAATAATACGATCTGGAAGGGGAGAGGACGGAATCTATATTGGTTAAATAGAGCAAACTATTAAATTAGGAGGCCTTCTATAGCTGTATGATTGTAGAGAAGACAATAATATTAGCACAGTGGAATGAGGTCAGATAGAATGAAAAGCGATAGTGTTATATTCACGAGAGTGAGATAGACTCAAAACTACTAGGTACAAACTTTCTCCACGCGACTGATCTACATGGATAGCGTTGTTGACGCGACTCCTAAGTTTGATCTTGACTATCTCGGCTAGCTCTTATACCAACCAGACACACCTTGTCATTTAACACTCCCGCTCGAGAGTTGTTCTGGTCATGGTCTCTAGTCAATTTTATTTTTGATCCTGTCATGGGAGTTTGTGTGAAGCTAATACCAAGCTGTTCAATAAATTTCTGGAACTTCACCCTTGCCAACGGTTTGGTCATGCCATCTGCTATCATGTCATCAGTTGAAATATAATCAACTATCAATCTCCCTTTTTTGGCAAGATCACGGATAAAGTGATAACAAATGTTGATATGTTTTGACCTTTCATTAAGATAAGCATTTTCTGTCAACGCAATCGATCCTTGATTGTCTCCGAGCATTTGGACGAGTGCTGGGTTCTTCCCGATATATAATGGAAGCCCGAGGTCTCTAAATATTTGAGCAATCCATTGCCCATGTTTTGCACACATTGAAAGAGCTATATACTCAGCCTCAAAGCTTGATGTTGATACCGAGCGCTGCTTTTTACTTGACCAAGAGATTAGTCAACCATAGAACATGGTGACGCTCCCAGAGGTACTCTTCCGATCATTCTTATCACTTGCCCAGTCGGTATCTGAATAAGCCTTAAAATTATTGTATTCTCCTCCAAGGCCGTAACAGATCCTAAATTTGACTGTCGATTTTAGGTATCGAAAAATTATCTTGAGTGCATATCTATGATGTTGTAACGGCTGGTAAGCCGATTGGTTCCTGTAGCGCATGTTGGTCAACATGAGCCTAGCCTGATATTAGTAGCGCACGATTGATCGACATCAATGCGCGGATATATGATGCCACTCAACAGAATATCAAAGCATTGGCATCTAGTTTGGCAGGGCAGCAGTATTGGGCCATACAGCTATAACACATTGAGATGTTACAACAAGTAGAGTCAACACATGTGAAGAATCCCATTGGAACCGAGAGGGAGGGACTGTGCATCAAACACATAGACAATGTATATATATGTATAGATAGAGACTGAAGTAGTTTTCTCTTCAGAATGATAATTTACATACTATCGACCACATAGTTGCACCAGCGCCTTTTCCTTGATCCGTGACAGATGTTCTGCAGGGTCACTCTTGAATTGACTCAATTTTCCAACCGCAAAAGCGATATCTGGTCCTGTGAAGGTTGCAGCATACATTAGGCTGCCAATTGCTTGCTGGTATTTAGTTACGTCGATCCTCTTGTCATCATTTGTTGCTGGTCGTAAATGTTCATATCCTATGAGTGGCACTGTCTTTAGCTTGTGAGCACCTTTTCTGAATCCAAACTTTTCCAATAGGCTTTGAACGTATTGTTCGTCATCTAGATGTAAAGTGCGGCTCTTTCTGCCTCGCGTAACCCTAGCTCCAAGGATCTTCTATATCTCCCCCAGATTCTTGGCGCTGAATCTTGTCGATAACTTTTTATAGAACCAATCCAGATGTTTTTTAGACTTAGCCGATGCAGCAATGTCATCAACATAAACCAATATACTTGTACCATTGTCATGGGTGAACAAGCATGGATCAGCAAGGCTTTGTGTGAATGCCCATGTCAGTAAAGAATCTTTGATTAAGCAGTTCCAGTCCCTTGCAGCTTGTTTTAGCCCGCATAAACTTCGAAGTGCTTTCCAAACGTAGCCTTTTTTACTTGAGGTTACCTTAGGTGGCTGGAGAAAAATGTTTTCTTTGAGATGTGATTCTGTAAATGCATTCTTTATATCATAATTATTAAGGAAATAATGACCCCTCAGTCATCGAGGTTGTAGAGCGCATTAATTCGAGTAACTACCGAAGTGAAACTAAGTATAGAATTTTTAGTCACGTGTATATCAGCAACGTGGCCCACTTGATAGCCCC